CAGTTTGCCAACCATGGGCCTAACCCATTTGGACTTAAGTGTGTTGCTCTATGGCTGTCCCTCCAGGGTTTTTTGTTTTTTTCTATTTGGTCTTAGATCATCTGTACACTTTTGAATATTTTAAAATCCTGATTGTGTTTTCTAGCATATTGATCCCCCCTTCCCCAGGTTCATATTAACTGCAAAATTCATAAAAGCACGATCCAGATCATTGTACTAAATCCTCCTTGTCAGCCTCTCCTGATCTATGTCTCATCTAAAAAAAAGACAATGGGGTTATGGTCTGGCGGGACTTGTTCTTGGCTGAGTCCATGCAGCCTTCTAAATGCCCCATTTCCCATTCTGATCTTTGTAAACTATATTTTGCTAATTGTATCCAGAATTTTGTCCAGGTTTTATTTCAAGCTCACCTTTTAAGTATTGTAGAATTTGCCATTATCCCTGTTTTAACAAAAACCAAGAGACTTGACTCTTCATAGGTTTGCTACTGTCCTATAAATGTAATTCTAGTGTCCCGGTGCACGGATTCGTGCACATTGAGAGGAAATTAATTAGAAGGTGGCCGGTGGAACTGGGGGAGATGGGCTGGACATGCCCTGGAGCCAACCTCCTGAGGTCCTTCCCCAGAGGCGCCTTGGCTCCAAGGGCATCTGCAGAGTGAGCGAGGTCCCTGCAGTAGGTGGGGTCCCTCGGCCTGGCCTGCGGCGATCAGGTCAAAACTGTCTCTATGATATCCCCCGAGGGGTCCCAGACTGCAAGAAGGTGGTTCTCGGGTGATGCGCCCCAGAATCGGGTTCCCTCCTCTCTGGTTCCAGGGTGTGTCAGAACCACCGATGCCAAGTCACTGCAGCTTGGCGGCTCCTGTGTTGAGCGTCTGCCTCCTGGTGGTCAGTGCGCATCATACTACCAGTCGGATGGTCGCTTAGCCTTTTTACTTTTTTTCTTTTTTAATTTATATATTTTTTATTGATTTCAGAGAGGAAGGGAGGGGAAGAGAGAGATAGGAACATCAATGATGAGAGAGAATCATGGATCACCTGCCTCCTGCAAACCCCCTACTGGAATTGAGCCCACAGCCCAGCATGTGCCCTTGACCGGAATCAAACCTGGGACTCTTCAGTCTGCAAGCCAACATTCTATCCACTGAGCTAAACCAGCTAGGGTGCTTAGCCTTTTATATATAAAGAGACCACTTTTGGACTCTTATTCCTGCTTGCCATTGTGTTTGGTCAATACTTAGATATCTGTTCTTATCAGTATAAGGACATCCTTTCATCTTTGGTGAATATTCTTTTTATGATGCTCAAGAGTTCTTTGTGTGGCCTCACCAACATTCTCAAGATACTTACTGCCCATCAATAGATGAATAGATTTAAAAAAAACTGGTATATTTACACAGTGGGATACAATGCAACTGTAAAAGGAGGCATCTCTTAACCTTGAGACAGCATGGAGAGACCTGGAGAGTATTAATGCTAAGTGAAATAAGCCAAATAGTAAAAGACATGTATCACATGATCTCACTTACATATGAAATCTATGAACAAAATAAACTGACAAAATAGATCCCAGAGACATGAAAACATGCAACATACTGAGGATCCTCAAAGGGAAGGGGGGCAGGAGGGAAGAGGTCAATCAGAGAACTTATATGCATATGTCATAACCCATAGACACAGATAATAGTGGGATAAAGGCCTGTGGAGGGGACGGGAGTAGGGAGGAGGGGGTTCAATGGGGAGAGAGAGGGAGGGGACATCCGTAATACTTTCAACAATAAAGATAATTTTTTAAAAAGACTAAGTGTTTTTTGAGGGACATCAAATTAGTGGGGCAAACAAAAACTTCAGTCACAGGGAGAAGCCATTCTGTCATCTGCTGACAAACCTATCAGCACCAGCTGTAGCTTTGTTTCTTTTTAGTCTCAGCTCATCCTTGCCATAGCCTTTTGTTTACTATCTTGTCAGAGTCAGATCTGGGGTCTGGCTTTGAGTGCCTGCCTGCCCAGGTGCCCTCTTGCCATAGTCCCTCAGTACAGCAGAGTTCACCTGGGTGTTTGCCTGATCCCTCTCCCCTCTCACTAAACCCTCTCTACAGGTATATACCAACAACACCCACTTATTTGTCCTTGCCTTTTTGTATGTTTATTTTAATACATTAATTATATTGTGTTTTCTGGAAGTATAATTATTAATAATATATATAAATTAATTGGTAATGATGTCAATAGCTTTCTATCCATGAGTTTTCATTTCTATTTCATTATTTTTAATATATTTTAATTGATTTCAGAGAGGGAGGGAGAGAGAGAAACATCAATGATGAGAGAGAATCATTGATTGGTTTCCTCCTGCACACCCCCTACTGGGGATTGAGCCCGCAACCCGGGCATGTGCCCTTGACCGGAATTGAACCCAGGGCCCTTCAGTCTGCAGTCCGACGCTCTATCCACTGAGCCAAACCAGCTATGGCTATTTCATTATTTTTAAAATGGGCCCTAGCCATTTTGACTCAGTGGATAGAGCGTCAACCTGCAGACTGAAGAGTCCCGGGTTCAATTCACGGTCATGGGCACGGGTCTCAGTTGCAGGCTCAATCCCTGGCCTTGGTTGGGGTGTGTGGGAGTGGCAACCAATCAATGTGTCTCTCTCACATCAGTGTTTCTCTGTCTCTCCTCCTTCCTTCCACTCTCTGAAAATCAGTGGAAAAATATCCTCCGGTGAGGATTAACTAAAATAAAAAGGTAACCTTTTTTCTTGGGCAAAAAGGGAATGAGGAAAGAATATGATCGATCATATGTTAGAGAGTAAAGCAAGACAGTGAAGCTCCTCATCTCGATGGCCTCATTGTATTCCAAACAACAATGCAGCAAGTTCCTGCACTGAAAGGCTTAAGGAGGCCAAGGCTCTGGGGAGATGTAGTGCAGAGATTAAGGAAATCAGAGTGTGGTCCAGCTGTAGGGCCTATGATTTGTGGCATCCCAGTAGTTCCTGCCTACAGAAGTATTCTCTCTGCTCACCCAGGGTTGATTTTAATTTGTGTGTTATTAAATAAGCATTAGTTTTTCTGTTTCATGGCTTCTGTATGATAGGGAAAGGAAATACAAGTTATAAAACTAAGTCCTTAGTCTACTTCAAAGAATAGAAATTTTTTCACAATTACAAAAACATTTGTGTGATTATCTTAGTAGTTTTGAGTAAGAAAGACATTTCTCTTTCTACTATCTGTAAATAAAAAAATTGTGACTTGGAGAGGGTGAGCAATACGTGGACTCCAAACACTAATCTTAAAATAATCTGTATTTCAGAAGTCTTTAGTATGTCCCAGATATTTTAAAGCTTAATTCTTATATTAAATAAATGTACTCTCACCTCCAAATTTTTATTTTATTTTAAGGCAAAGCCAGGGAAAACATGCCTTTTCAGTTGTAATATTCTCCACTGAAGTATTTTACAATTTAGTTTTTAATAGATGTCTGAAAAATAGAATGCTCAGTTGCTAACCGCCAAATTTTAATTATTCAACCAATTTAGGTGGTTCAGTTGAGCCTGTGACATTGACTATAATAGCTTAATTTATATACATGCAGTTATTTGGCTTTTACATCTTGTTTTTCTCATATGCATAAAAATCTGAATACTAAAGTACATTTTGTTTTTGTCTTAGAACTTTTCAGTGTTAATACCTAATTATTAATTATCAGAATAACTCTTTACAAGCCATCCTGCAATTGTTGAATTGGTGGTTCTCTAAATAAAGGAGTTTGAGTCAGAATTCAGACAGAAAACTTTAAAAAAAAAATTTAATTTGAATTTATAGTGTTCTAACCAGGGAGCTTCAGAGGATAAAGTTCTTTTTTCCATTGTCATTTTGGTAGGTACTCAAAATAAGCCAGTTTCCATAAGATGAGACGTTCCATTTGGTAATAGTTTGTTTTTTTCCATGGAAATGTAGTGACTGCAGTCTTACTTCTCAGAAGGTTTGGGGAATTATGAGTCGTTCTATATGGCTGGGCCCATAATCCCAGTGAACAAGTAGAATGATAAAATCAAACAATGAAGGATGGGAAGGCAGAAAACTCATGGCAGCCAGTCTGCATTCCCAGGGGAAAGATAAGACATTAAAGGCAGATGGTGTCTTGGTGAGAAAAGCCCTGGAGGGGAGGCAGGGTGGTCCTAAGTGCTGGTGGGTCCTGCTGCCTTTGCACTGTAGAAGGTGACAAGGACACAAGTGGCCAGCACTGAGTACTGCCTGGCATTGTACCCCTGCTTCATGGTAGACCAGCCTGTGACCTTGAGGAGGGTTCCCGTCTCTGGATCTTTTATCCAGGCCTACCTTACGGAGGTGTATGTTGACAGGAGGTCAAGGGGACATGTCTAAAGGAGCCCTGCAGGTAGAAATCTCTGAAAATGTGGCCACACACCTGACATATAGTGTCCATTGAATTAGAAACCCAGGCCTATGCTGCATACTCTGGCTCATTTCCTTTTCCATCCTGTTTGGGCCTTTCCCTCAGCTCTTTGCAGCATGATCCCTTTTTATATTGATACTAGAGGCCCGGTGCATGAATTCATGCACCAGTGGGGTCCAGCCAGCCCACCCTGATGTGGGGGGGGCGGGGCCAGGGGCGGTTGGCCGGCAATTTGCATATTAGCCTTTTATTATATAGGATATAGTCACATCAGGGCAAAATTACCAAGTTTCCAAACTTGGTAGACATTGACAAAATGTTAAATTGTCTGCTTTTCAATGGCTTGTGTGGAGATACTTAGTCTCCTATGCAACTGGTGTTTCCAACCCTCCCTCCCACCCCCATCCCCATAAAGGGAGTTATTTCTTTAAGTTAGTGCTTTCTTAAAATGGCTGATCATGTAAGTTGAGTCCTAAAAAAAATGTATAGTTTCCTTTGGATAGGACAGTGTGGGTGATTTAATGTTAACTTTCTCTTTTCTTTGTTTGCAGAGAACATGCTGATTTGTCTTCTTTATCCATTCTTACAGGTTGGTGATATTGTGAAAGTCACAAGGATGAACATAAATGGCCAGTGGGAAGGTGAAGTGAATGGGCGCAAAGGGCTTTTTCCTTTTACGCACGTCAAAATCTTTGACCCTCAAAACCCAGATGAAAATGAGTGATTGCCGTTGGCCCTGTTTTCTACTGCTTAGTTATTCTGTCCGTCATAGTCTCCTTTGAGGGAAAGCATTCTATTTCATAGGCAAGTTACACTGCATTGCCGAAGTCCAGCTTTCTGCAGACTGGCGGTCTCATACATGTTTGGAATGCACACAGTGGCTGCCTCGGCATTTGTATCATAGTTGTATTGTCAAAGAGTAGCGGAATTTAGAGTTCTTTTGGATCATAAACTGGAAATACTGGTGGAAGCACACAAATGGAAAGAAGTTGACGAGGGAAGGGTCCTTCTCATCACTGCCCTGTTGTACTTGTGATTGATTCTGTCATGTTCATCAGAGAAAGCTTGAGGCCATGGCGAGACATTGCACATTACTGTTCCACAAAGCAGCGGCTCAGTTCTAGTTTGTTTTTTCTTTAAAGAGCAGAGCAAGTGAACCTTAAAGAAGAGGAAATTCTGTCCTAAACTCCCCATATCTGGCTCTTCTCTTTTTTTCTTTTGGTTTGGTTTTGGAAGACTTAATTAGACTTGTGTGTTCTGAACAGGCTTTTAAATAGCACATTGGATTTTTGTGATATCACAAGGAATGACACCTGCCTCTCAGCTTCCAAACTGAAGCTACTGTAACTGTGGAAATGAAAATACAAACCTGAAATGGAGGCCTGTATTGTCTTGGTTGGCAGTGGTATCTTTTAGCCATATAGCAAACAACACCAAAAAAATCAGCAGTCATGGTGTGCCAAGCTGTGTGGGCAGCTTCTTGGATTACATTGTCCCCAACAGCAACAATATGGAGGGTGGTTTGGGGAAACCTTTGCCCACCTTCCCACCTTATTTGCCAATGACAGAAGCATATGGGGAGGGGGGTTCTTGGCCAGTTTTCTGTCCTGTGGTTCAGTGAATAAACCCCTTTAAGGTATAAGACTTAAGTTTCTTTAAAAAGGGAGGTTGTTCATAGAATCATCTAATTCATTAATGAATCTTTAAATTCTCTCTGAAGCCTAGTCCTCCCTGCCACAGCCTGGACTCACCAGGCTGCAAGAGAAAGATGGTGCTGCTAATACTGGTTCTCCTGTCTGTGTGCCCATGATGCTCTCAAGCAAAAAAAATGTAGAGTCTGGAAATTGCTTAATACATTTGATGTCTAATGGTTTAGTGACTAGGGAGAACCATTAACTAATTTTACCATTAATCATTTACCAGGTTTTGTTTTTTAATATGTTTTATTGATTTTCAGAGAGAGGATGGGCGAGGGCTAGAGAGATCAATGAGAGAGAAACATCATTGATTGGCTGCCTCCTGCACGCCCCCTACTGGGGATCGAGCCGCAACCTAGGCATATGCCCTAACCGAGAATGGAACCAGTGACCTCTTGGTTCATGGGTTGATGCTCAACCACTGAGCCACACCGGCTGGGCCATTTACCAGTTTGATGTTAAAGTTTCTCTGTTAGCTGAAAGAGGCCTGTTCATACAAGCCAACTGGTACAAATCGCTATAGCAAACTAGAATGCTGGAACCTTTTTGCAATTCAGTCTGCTCTCCCTTCTAGACACTGGTGAAGATGGGCCTCTGCTCAGAATGAACACAGCAGACCTAGAGATGTAGCAGCAACCTAATGAGCAGTTCTGTATCATTTAAATTTTTCCTTAAATCAGAAATAAATAAATAAAATTTTCTTTAAATCAGTATTCTATCAGGCAGGTAACACCGTATTATTTTTTTTTAAATATATTTTATTGATTTTTTTACAGAGAGGAAGGGAGAGGGATAGAGAGTTAGAAACATCGATGAGAGAGAAACATCGATCAGCTGCCTCCTGCACACTCCCTACTGGGGATGTGTCCGCAACCAAGGTACATGCCCTTGACTGGAATCGAACCTGGGGCCCTTTAGTCCGCAGGCCGACGCTCTATCCACTGAGCCAAACCAACACCGTATTATTAAAGAATCTTGATAGTGCTCCTGTGTGAAAAAATTAATGGTCATTTGGGAAAAAATACACCGTGGCTGCCTGTCTGTAGTTATCCTGAAAGAAGACAACAATCATCTCTTCCTAATCAAGTGAAAACTGTGGCTCTGAAGGTACCCATCCATTGCAGTTGCCTCTTGACAATAGTTGGCTCAGAACATAAGAAGTAACACGCCATTTTGGAAAGCAAGGTTTCCTTTAAGCCATGTCTGCTGATCAGTATAGCAAGACCCACATCATGTAGAGCACTTCAGAATCAGAACACTCACAACCTAGATTTGGCTTCATAGTAAGTCTGACTTGGAGCCTCAAATAAGGTGAGCCTTGAGTTCTGAGCTCTTAAGATATGTGCCAAAAGTAGCACCTTTTTTACTTAGAACCTTACTAGTTTTTTAATCAGGCAGGGAAATTCTCTTTTTCACACTAAACATACAAAAAACGGCACCCCTGCCTTGTTTTCATGCCTGGGTTCCCAGCAGCCTGGGAAGACTGCTTCAGAAAGTGATGTGAATCTTCCGAGGAGCTGCCTTCCTCCTGGGCACTCTTCCTTTTAGGATTGTTCATTATTTTGCTACTTGCTCTACTCTACTGTTTGTCATGTAAGAAAATACTGGGATGTTAAATTATCTCACTTGGGAAGTGAACAAGTTACGTACTAAAGGACATTGACAGTTTGATTCAAAACTTATTTATCCTGGGAAGGACCTCCAACACAGGAGTCATTCTTGTCATTTCTGCATGGTGTGGTACCATCTGATGACACGGTTAACGAAGAGGAGGACACTTGGGCTGCCATTTGACGACTTAAAGTGGCCCAGAGGAGACGGCTTCTCTGCTCATGGTTGGAAAGCTGAAAGGAGGGAAGGACAGCTGCTCCCTCCTTGAGCTCAAGCATCCCTGGCACTGTGCTAACTTTCTTTTACAGCTGTTTACAGACAAGGCGGGCCGAGACAGACGGCCACTGCTCTTGTAATGTTTGCTCAGAGGAAAATGAACATTTTATTTTTGAAAAGGGATGATGTGTTTTTGTGCCAGGTGTTTATAATTTAATCCTTTAATATTATGTTCATTAACTTCTTAAAAATGAATGAATTCTTGTTTTAACACAGTACCTAAGACTAATGTTTTCTGTGGACACCACTGAGGTCTGCCTCAAACTCCACTCTCTGGGACTGGAGACCAATGTCCCTGGTAACTGCTGACAGTGTGGACACTGCGCTAGTTGTTTATTCTAAAGGAGTAGAAGGACAGTTCTCCGAGACAGGGTCGTTGTCTCTGCAGGAGGAACAGTGGCCTTGCTTCTAGACGGTCTTCACTGTGTGTTTTAAAACAACACAATACTCTTTTGACCTGTAACTTAAAGATCGTAAATTTCAGGCAATAATATTTTCTGTGTAAGCTTTTAAAATTATTTTTTGGGATCATAGCTTGTTTTATTTTGTGCTATAAAATTAACAGTATTAAATTACTTATATTCTTAGAACACATCGAGTGTCTTTTCTTAACAGATTAGTGCCTTTTTATTTTTGTATTTCATTTTACGTTACTGGTCCCAGCATCAGAACCCTTGTTTCCATGGCCTTGTTTGTACATTGTCTCAATAAAACTTGCATCAGCCAGTGGTGGCAGCAGCTTCAGTGTTTCGGTGTCTCCTCAGTGCTGCCTGGAGGTACTCAGCCCCCACCAGCCTCCTAGCAGTTCCTGGTGAAACACCAGGTGCTTCACGGAGCATGAGTCCTGCAACCCAGCCCTGCTACTGACCACGAAATAGAATGGGATCTTACATCAGCCCTTCCACACCACAGCTCCTCCCCACAGAAGAAACCAGCTGGTGCTTAATCTCAGCCTGCTGAGGATGGGGCAATAGTTGCCACACTTTATATCACCAAGGTAAACTTAGATGTTTTCCCTAATAGGTCACCATATCTGAAGGCTTCTTAAATATTTGCTCAGCATGAGCTAGCCAGAGTTGAATGGTTTCAAACAGAAGTCACAGAAAATGAGTAGCCTCATCCCAGATCAGGGCATGATATCTGGCTTTTAAAAATCCTTTTCTGTTCCTGTCTGTACATGGGACTCCTGATGAATTCTGGGGACCTTTAGGTGGCCGCTTGAGGTGCTGGCAGCTCACTGATTTCCCTGACACCCCTCAGCCAGAGCCCTGTTCCCATGCCTATTTACTAGTATGTGTATTGAGGTCCGAATTTTGTGGTGAACCTCCGGAAATGAGTTTCAGGAAGTGCCATATTTATATAGAACTTGGCACTTCCTAGCGATTTCAAGAATCTGCAGAATTTGAGAAAAGTTTGTCTTAAATGGAAATAGCAAAACTGTCAAATCATTCTTGAAAAAAAAATATGTCCCGGAGACACCTTTAAAAAATACTTTTAGTTTGAAAAGGTGTTTTGGTCAGCAATCGGGCTGGGTTCCTCTGAATCAGGGAACCCTTAGAAATTGGGGTGGGGGCTGCTCTTGCCCAGAGGCAGCTGCCACAGGGTCTGGTGGCCATACACACCCCATCCTCCCCCCTAGGACAGGAGTGTCCCAGCTCTGCCATTGCTAAAGTGGGAGTGGGCACCAGTGGAGGAGGGAGGTCCAGAGCAGGTGGCCAGGTGGTAGGCCAGGGAGGACAGCCCACGCCCACCCACCAGAGAGCCCTGGGGAACTCCACTGTAAAGGCTAAGGGGTCTGAGGAAGGGGAAGCCTTCTGAGTGGGTGCCTGAGGCACAGGCAGTAGATGGTCAGTAGCTACATAGAGGGCAAGTAAGGGCTGGTGCCGAGAGAAGGGGGGACAGCCCAGCTGGCCAGAGTGGCTCAGTGGTTGAGTGTGGACCTATGAACCAGGAGGTCACAGTTTGATTCCTAGTCAGGGCACATGCCAGGGTTGCAGGCTTGATCCCCAGTTTGGGGCTTGCAGGAGGCAGTCAACGATTCTCATCATTGATGTTTCTATCTGTCCCTCTCCCTTCCTCTCTGAAATCAATAAAAAATATATTTTTTTTTTAAAAGAGGAGGGACCTGGGCAGGGCTGTGCCAGGTCAGTAACCAGAGGAGGGGATCCAAGCCCCAGTGCCAACCAGCCAAGGAATGGAGATTTGCAGCCCAACTGAGCTCACCAAGACTCAAGCTCAGTCGTTGCCCCACTGTCTCCTGGCCTCCCTGCTCCCTTCCAGTCCAGTGCCAATCCTAGTTGCTGGTATGTTTTACTCCTAAAGACCCATGTGAAGAAAACCCCTTACCTAGTTCCTCCCTGGCCTGTGATAACACTCCATGCCATGCCCCTGCCCAGAACCCAAAAGTCAGGCCAGACTGGACTGACATTCTGAATGCCCCAGAATTTGACTCCTTACCTCCTTGCCTTTGCCCACATGTTCCTTCTGCTTGGATGCCCTTCTCTCCTTTGATGAACTCCCAATTGGTCCATCTGTCCTTAGCTTCTGCCACCTCCTAATAACGCCCTCCTGACTTTTCCATCCCTCCATGAGGACTGGAATTAGCACTGGTGTTCCCAGAGCCTAAGAACAGAACTTTGGGAGGGCCCAGGCTGGGCTAAAGAGGTTTAGTGGGGCTGGAGCTAGCTTCAACAGAGTCAGAGAGAACCCAGAGGGTGCTGGGAACATGATGGTCAGACTACAAATGAGACTGAGCAGGAGAGAGACTAGACTGCAGTAGCCAGAGCAAGCTAGGGAGTCAGAGATGAGGCTGGGGCTTCACCTGCACTCCCCAACCTGAGGATTCCCCATAAGAGATGAGGCTGGGGGTGGGGCTTCACCTGCACTCCCCAACCTGAGGATTCCCCCAACTTCTGCTTCTAAAATCACTAAATAAATAAATAAATCACTAGCTCTGGGCACTACCACCCATCTTGCCCCTCAACACAGCTGGCTTCAGCTCAGATGTTGGCTGTGCTGTATCAGTACCCCAACATTTCCTGTGGATCTGTTAGTCAAA